TGGGGGTGCTGGGGCTGTGGCAGCGGGGATCCCAGCCCATCCCTGCCCCAGGCTGTTCCGTGCTGAGGTGGACTGTGCCGGACGGCTGAGTGAGCGGCTAGGACTCGGCATCGCCGCCTTCCAGGGGCTCTCCAACCTGGCGCTCAATGGTGAGTGGGGTCACAGAGTGGGACCTGGGGGGCTGTGGGGTGGGACTCCCTTGGGCAGGACCTCGTCCAAATGTCCCTTCTGCATGTCCCCTTCAAATCCCAGCTCTGCTCCCACCCCACAGGCATCGTCCTGGGAACCATCTTTGTCGGTGGCTCCCTGATGGCCGGAGACCAGCTCTCGCCTGGTGACCTCATGTCCTTCCTGGTGGCCTCGCAGACGGTGCAAAGGTTAGAGCGGGGCCCAAAGGTACCCCCAGTACCTCTGGCAGCCCTTGTACCCTGCAGCGTGCCTGGGCACAGCCCTGAGTTCAACCTCTGACCTTGTGCATCCCAGGTCCTTGGCCAACATCTCCATTCTGATGGGCCAGGTAAGTGGGGTGAGGGGTCCTGGCACCCCCTGAGGCTGGGCATTCAGGTTTGGGGCTCTGGGGGTGCTTTCGCTACCCTCCCTGCGGGTGGTGTGGGGCCTGGGGGACCATGAGGTGCTCCTGCTGTCCCCCCACAGGCGGTGCGGGGTCTGAGTGCTGGCGCCCGTGTCTTTGAGCTGCTGAGACTGGAGCCCCCCGTGCCACTGCAGGGGGGAGTCACCATCCCTGCCCACTCCCTGTGCGGCCGCATCTGCTTCAACCGCGTCTCCTTCAGGTGAGTCCCGCCTGGGACTGCCCCCCATGGCCCCCTGGGCCACCCCATGGACAGGGGGACGGGCACCATGTCCCCACAGCTCTGCAGCCCCTGCTCCTCTCCCTGCAGTTATCCCACCCGGCCTGGCTACCCTGTCCTGCAGGACTTCAGCCTCACCCTGCCCCCCTGCCAGACCGTGGCCATCGTGGGCCCCTCTGGAGGAGGTACCAGTACCCGCCCCGGGTTTATCCTCCTGTGCCCCAGTTCTGCCCAGTGCGCCCAGCGTGTGCCGGGGACTGGGAATCCCCCAGTGCTGCTGGAGCCAGGGGTCTGGAGCAGGGGGCTCAGGGGTCCCCATCCCCAGGGAAGTCAACGGTGGCAGCGCTGCTGGAGCGGTTCTATGAGCCCACGGCGGGAACCATCACCCTGGACGGGCAGGACATCGCCAGCCTGGACCCCTCCTGGCTGCGGGGACAGGTCATCGGCTTCATCAGCCAGGTGGGGACAGGAGCGCCGCTGGCCGGGACCCCCGGCTGTTCCTGGGGAAGAGGAGGGAGGTGGGCCGTGGCTGAGGCTCAGTGCTGAGGGCTGGGGTTTTGCTGCAGGAGCCGGTGCTGTTTGGCACAACCATCATGGAGAACATCCGCTTCGGGAAGCCGGGAGCCTCTGATGCCGAGGTGTACGAGGCCGCCCGGCTCGCCAACGCTGACGGCTTCATCCGCAGCTTCCCCGATGGCTACGACACCGTCGTGGGTATGGCCAGGGCGGGAGGGGGTCAGGCAAGTGTGGGCCTCCAGCCGAGATGGTCCCGGCCCTGCGGGGACAGCGGCTGCCGGTCACCGCCGATGTTGGGCTGTGCCAGAGGGAGCTGCGGCCGCACCGGGCTCTGAGCGGCAGGGATGGGGTTCGGGTGTGGGAGGTGGGGCTCTCCCCGGGCTGATGAGGCACACGGAGGTTCTGGGGG